TCAACCCTGAGCCGGTGAGATTTGAACAGCCGAACTGCAGTCAGCTGAAGTAGCCTGCAGTGCTGCATTTAACCACTGCGCCACCTCGGCTCTCTCTTTGGCTGATGAACAATCCTGTTTGTTCATCAGCCAGAGCCTACTTCTGAATCACCCAATCCAACAACTTCAACTTCAGTTGTCTTGTGTACAGTTTGCTAACTATACCTGAAAGACTAAATGACTGATTAAATACCCAGATCAGAATTATTGATTTTTTTAAAAATAGTTATTAGTTGTAATCCTGATATTTTGGGGTTTGACAAGCATGAGTGATATGAGTGAATAAGGAAGTGCCAGGATTTATATTTAATAGGCACCTATTCTAGACCAAACAAACCAATAGAGATTAGGTTTCAGTAGTTTACTTCATGAAATTAGAAATTTACCAGCATGGCAGTCAGCTTTCTTGGAAGCACACTTACTAGCAAACTCCACAAGCACGCAGAAGCTTGCTTGCAATCATTCCAATTACCAGATAGCCAGTTAGAAAGCAAATCACTCTCTGCTTTGTTCACAGGAAAGGTCTGAAGTCAAAGTATTAGCATTTCAGACAGCAAGGGTTTTGAGGCATAAGTACAAGGAGCCCAGGTTGAATTTGTTGCTTCCAACAAAGGTTTGCTACCTAGTGATCACTCCTGTGTAACTTGGAATCCTCATTTCCTAATCGCTACACAGCTGTTCCAGATGACTTCTGGCAGAGTCAGCCTCAGATGTTTGCCAGTTCCCAATGCTGACATTTATTTGGCACATCTGGAGAAGACACCTTGACAGTCTTCCAAGTCTGTTATGACTCTCAGCAGAGATCAGGTTCCATCCTGCTGCCTTACTTATTTGAAAATATTATTTGTGGTTGGATATTTAATTGTGCTAGTGTATCTTCCATCAAATCTAAACAAAGTGAACGCAAAATAGAACTATTTTGTTATTTTTTTAACCTATCCGCAGAATGATTTTGCAATAGAATATTAATTATTTCAACCTGTTCCACTTTGTCTCTCTAGGTTTGAAGTCCTAAGCTTTCTTATGCTGTGTTATAATTCTGCTATTGTATATATGCCTGCCTCTTCCTATCAGTCGCTTTGCAAGATGGGTTCTAGGTAAGAATGATGCACTGGGCATGGTTGAGGGGAATTGGTATTGGTATTGGTATTTTATTATTTGTATGCCGCCCTTCTCCGGGAGGACTCAGGGCAGCGAACAATTCAAAGGGGAAAAAAAAGGGGGAACATAAAAGACAAAATACAAATAATAAAAGTAAACAACAGTCGCACAACCATACATGTCGAGAGGGGAGACAACTCATCACCCCCAGGCCTGCCGACAAAGTCAGGTTTTGACGGCTTTTCGGAAGGCCTGGAGAGAGGTGAGGGTCCGAATCCCTGCAGGGAGTTCATTCCAGAGGGCCGGAGCTGCCACAGAGAAGGCCCTCCCCCGGGTAATAGCCAGGTGGCTATTTTCATAGGGATTTTTAAATGATATAAAAAGAAAAAGGTATGGGTTTTACATGCATGTGAGACAATATTTGAATATTGATTATTTGTCATAATCTCTCCCTGCTTTTTTATTAGAGTATGTAAATGTAATGACTTGTTTTATTATAGATGTAGAAATTTAGATTTTTCATATTGTCTCCATTAAATTAGATAAAGAAAAAAATATTTTTTCCTAATTTACTGGAAGAAGACAAAAGGATCGTGGCTTCTCATATGTGTGGAACAGAGCTGGATTTTATGGGTGTCATTCAAGAGATACATATCTTTGTAACTTGGAGCTTCAAGCTGGTTGTAGATATATGGTTAATGAGATGTAGGAGTGGAGAGTAACATATAAAACATACTTTTCAAAACTTGATGATCCCAAATAACAAAACATGGACCATGATGCAAGTTGTGTCATTTTTTATTAGTGCCACAACATTGAAGATAACATATGTACAAGATAGAGTTTATACTTCAACATCAAGATGCAGGTGTCATCAGTTAATCTTCCACTAGGGAGGGGTTGAACCATGGAACCAACTTTTCTTATGCGGATTGAACCATGTATATTGTTCTATATACTGTATCTTTCATTGTGATTTTTTTCTATGCAAAGATGAATTAAGATAAACTGGAGAAAAGTCCAAGTCCCATTCTGAAAATTCAACTTTAATTAAGATTATCCAAAACAGATCTTATGGAGTATCCCTTTTTTTTCTTTTTAACCTGGTTAGCAAGAGAAATAGCTAATAGGTAGTCTGTTTACTAAGCCCTCCTCTAAAGCAGGGGTCTCCAACCCCCAGGCTGCAGATTGCTACCAGTCCATGGCCCGTTGAGAACTGGGCCACTCAAGCAGTGGGCAAAGGTGCAACACTTTATTTGCACATGTGTGGGATTAGGTTGCACACACAAAACCATCCCTTCGACCGGTGGTTCATGGAGCGAAAAAGGTTAGGGACCAGTACTTTAAAGCAGTGTTTCTCAACCTTGGCAACTTGAAGATGTCTGGACTTCAACTCCCAGAATTCCCCAGCCAGCATTCTCAGCATTTGAGAAACACTGCTTTAAAGGATGTAGATAAATTTAAGACAAGAACAAAAGCAATATGAAAAGGACCTATAAACTCATGTCTTTATTATTTGTTGTTTCATTTCACTTTTTATACATCTTTTCCCACTAAGATGAATTATCTTCTAGTGCTGCAATATCTGTGCCAACCATATACTGGATCCATGCTTTTAATGCATCCATTCTAAAAATCCAATAAGGGTTGAGTTACAGGTGGAATATCCTTAGAAGAAAAAATCACTTTAGTGCCATGGTGCTGAAAATCTTTTCAAAGGAGAATTGATGTTTGAGTCCTAAGTGTGCGTTCTTACAGTTCTTCTCCCTTTAGAATCCTATGGGTGACCAAATTTCAATTTCTTTATTTTTAAAAGGATATTCTTGACCTTGGCTTTGGCTGAATTTCAAAAAAAAATATTGGCTGCTGTTAAATATTAGGTGGATATTGATGGTTGTCACATAGATACTTTCCATAAGTATGATTAGATGTAATTTGATTGAGGTTGCTACTGAACTGAAAAAAATCTTTGCTGAGAGATTTCAGTGGGAATAGATTGGCAGCTTCTACAAAAATCAAGTTTGTGATGGTAGGACGTTTTCAGGCAAAATAGGAAATGTTGTGAATGGTAATAGTCACTTTCTACTATATTATTGGTAATAGAATGCAGTACTGCAGGCTACTTCTGCTGCCTGCAATTTGGCAGTTCGAATCTCACCAGGCTTAAGGTTGACTCAGCCTTCCATCCTTCTGAGGTCAGTAAAATATGGACCCAGATTGTTGGAGGCAATATGCTGACTCTTAGATTGGGCTGTAAAAGCACTGTGAAGCAGTATATAAGTCTAAATGATATTGCTATCATCCCATGATATTGTAACCATCTTTCATTGTGGTTTTATGTAGAGCAAAGGGTTGTTTTAGTGGCATGTCTTAATTGTTTATTTATGTAGATGTTACAGAATTAAATATATTAAAAACATTTGCAAGTGGTTCTCGACTTAACCACAATTGAGACCAGAATTTCTGTTGTTAAACAATGTTGTCGTTGTTGAATTGTGCCCAATTTTACGAACTATTTTGCCACAGTTGTTAAGCAAATTACTAAAGTTGTTAAGTGAATCGTGCAGTCAATAAGTGAATTCGGCTTTTCCCATTGACTTTGCTTATCAGAAGCTGGCTGGAAAGATTGCACAAAACAATTATGTGATCCCGGGATGCTGCAGCCATGATACACATATGCCACTTGCCAAGCACCCAAATTTTGATCACCTGACTGTGGGGATGTTGCATTGCTTGTCAGTATGAGAACAGGTGTACATCAGTTGCTAAACAAGGGTTACATATACTTTGTTGCATCACAAATACTTTGGTTTCTAATTTAAATGAGTAGTTTTCTCACACTGGTATATACTACCCAGGACTATAAAAACACATAAATAAATTAAAAATGAATATTATTATTAAAATACCTTGGTTTGTAGTTTAGAGTTTTGTATACAAAATTAAAAATAAGAAAACGTGTTTATTCAACAGATAAAAGATTTAATTTTTAGACGTGCTTTTATGTTTTGCAGGCTCTGTGTGAGTGGATTTCCACGACAAAATGAAAAATGCTGGAAGGAAGATGGCTGCAGAGTACTATTGGATCCTGATTTCATGGTTCAGTTACTCACTGGAATCTATTACGCTGTGTATGTTTCTAAATTTTGGATAAGTAACTGCTCTTTGTTTTTGAGCAAATTATTCATATTTTTGCCGGAATAAAATGTAACATAAATGCTTATTAAAATATTAACAGTTGACAGTGGACTTCTATCAGGCAATTTTTCTGCTTTTCTGTTTGAAAATACCGTATTTCATTGGCCTAAATACTTTGTATATTTTGTCTGCTTTAAAAAACGGCAGTGAATGGAAGGGAACCTCCTGAGTTAACTCCTCTAGCAGAATACTTAACAACACATTTTTCATGTTTTTCTTTTTTATTAAAATATTTGTGCTATGTTCGGCTGTGAAAAATTGTAACTTACATAGAGCCGAGGTGGCGCAGTGGTTAAATGCAGCACTGCAGGCTACTTCAGCTGACTGCAGTTCGGCTGTTCAAATCTCACCGGCTCAGGGTTGACTCAGCTTTCCATCCTTCCGAAGTGGGTAAAATGGGGACCTGGATTATTGTTTGGGGCAGTATGCTGACTCTGTAAACCGCTTAGAGAGGGCTGAAAGCCCTATGAAGCGGTATATAAGTCTAACTGCTATTGCTATTGCTATTTGCCATGAAGTTGACTTTTAACTCTGGAAAGCTTCTAATTGAGTATTACCAGTTGCACCTTTCCTAAATTGAGGGGTCCTACTAATGGTCATTCCTGTCCTGGCCATCTCATGGTTGAACTACTGTATTGTGTTCCACATAAGGCTGCCCTTGAAGAGTCTCCAAAAACTTCAGTTGGTTCAAAATGCAGTGAACACACATTATATCTGTTTCACAAACTGCATTAGTTACCAGCTTATTTCCAGGTCCAATTCACGGTGCTGATGTTGATCTTTAGAGCCTTTCATAGCATGGGTATTTGAGCCTCTCCCAGTTTCATTTACCATATCTGGCAGAGAGGGCATAGCAATAGCACTTAGACTTATATGCCACTTCACAATACCTTACAGTCCTCTGTAAGTGGTTTTACGGAGTCAGCATATTGTCCCCAACAATCTGGGTCCTCATTTTACTGATTTTGGAAGGATGGAAGGCTGAGTCAACCTTGACCCAGTGAGACTTGAATTGCCAAACTACTGGCAGTCAGCAGAATTAGCCTGCAATACTGCATTCTAACCACTGCACCACCATGGCATGTTATGGGTTCTGTCATCTAGGGCGCTGCATTTGGTAGGCCCTAGGAATCAGGCCTACCTGAGTGAATCGGTGAGGTGGCTCAGTTATTATTAACATCTCTTTGCTATGTCAAAAATGTTAGTAATGAAATTATCCTGACTGAATGTACAGATTGAGCAAGGAAGAATTGTACCCATGAGTCAGCTATTTACGTAAGAACTTACAGCTAGCGCTAGCAAAACCAAAACAGCAGAAAAGGGCATATTTGGAAGTTAACTGATGTGGGAAAGCTCAAGATCACAAAAATAATGCACTGTGTTTATTTCCTTTGCATCCATATATAGCTACAATGGACAATGGGAGCTTGGTCAGGAAGCCCTGGATGATATAATTTATCGAGCTCAGCTTGAACTCTATTCTCAGCCACTGCTGGTAAGGAGATAGGCTGTAATCTGTTCATGAGATTTAAATTGTGCATATGATTGTAATATTAATAGTCAGCTTTGAATGAGTTCTGTAACATTCTAAAATCTTCCAATTATTCCAGCAGAATAATTTGTGCCCGTTGTAACAAAAACGTGTGATAAATTGTACACTTTGATTTCATTTACTTAGCCGCAGTCCAGAATTCCTCAGTTTCTCATATAGCAAAGATTAGCAGAATATTGGTTAACAGGGGGATAATTAGAGTATTACTTGCAATCATTGTTTGACTGCCACTTGCAGTGTGCTTATTGAAAGTGCTCTTTTGAGAACCACGCAGATGTACACTTGTGTGTCGTTCATGTATACAGTAGTCCTTAACAAGCATTCGTTTAGGACCGTTTAAAGTCAGTGTCACTGAAAAAAAGTGACATTTTTCACACAATCGTTGCAGTATCCTCATGATCACATGATCAAAATTCAGATTCTTGGCAACTGCTGCATATTTATGATGTTGTTGTGTCCCAAGGTCATGTGATCCCTTTTGTGACCTTCTGACAAGCAAAATCAATGGGGAAACCAATTCACTTAACAACCATGTTACTATTTTAGCAACTACAGTGATTCACTTAACAACTGGGGCAAGAAAGGTTGTAAAATGGGGCAGAACTCACTTAACAACTGTCTCGCTTAGCAGCAGAAATTTTGGGCTGAATTGTGATTGTAAGTTAGGGATTACCTGTATGCTTGTTTATCTGCATTTCGCATGTCTGTCGGGAAGATTTTTCCAGAATTATTTGACAAGCATATAGCTAGATGCTAACAGTCTAGTAACTGTGGTACAATTTGAACTTGGCCTCTCTTTGAACTTGAACAGCATGATAATTATTTTGAGAAGTTGGGATAATCTTCCTTTTCCACTCCAGCTTTTATGAATGTGGGTCACTGGCCTTTTACTGGATAAATAAACAAGATTCTGAAAATAGAAATGTCCACTTTCCTATGACATTTGTTTTTCTTTACTCACAATCATGCTCAGCAGATTGGTTTCTGCCTGTTTAAGGAGACATGGAAAGGACTAAACCACTTTGCCCCAGTAACCATCCTCTCCATTAACCCTCCATGAACCCTCTTGCCAAATGAGATTGCATTTTTCCCCCTTCCCTTTATATTAGATTAAATGCTTCTTTGTTGAATTATTGCTGACTAGATTATATTATCCTTTTGAAGACAACAATTTGAATTCTGATTTTGTTAATGTTCCTTTAATAAATAACTAAATGCTCTACTAAATTGATTTTTAATAATAAAAAAACACTGATAAACTTCCTGTAATATACAGTATTAAGAAGCCTAAAGCAGGGGTGTCAAACTCGCGGCCCATGGGCTGGATACGTCACACACTGGCCACCCCCACCCCATTTTAGTGAAGGGGGGGAAATAGTCATGATACATCACATGACAACATGATGACGTGAGTTTGACATCCCTGGCCCAAAGGTAGCCTGAATTCATTTGAATTCAGCTTTTGTTTTTGACTTAACTGAAAAAGCTGAGACAAACACTAACTTGGTGGAAAGTCCCTTTTGATTTGCTCATATTGTAATAATATAATAATTGTATTAGTAAAAATATAAATTAATATTAAATATTAATACTAATATAATAATGATCACTCCCAACTTTTTTTAAAAAGTTCATATTTGCTGTACTACTCTCCATTCTATTCTGCAGTTTTACGTAATTTTTCTTTCTTTTCTTGGTCTCCTTTTTATTAAAAAAGAAAAGTAAGGTGCTTGCCTCTTTATAATTCAGTCTATATCTTAACCTTAGTCCTAAAAAAAAGGGTATCTGTCAGTGACCTTCAGCCTTCTGGAATTTTTTCTTTCTTTCAGTAAAGCAAATTTCCTACATACTGTATTTTTCAGATTATTTCCCACTCTAAAGGAGGGTGAAAATTTAGGTGCGTCTTATACACCAAATGTAGCCCTGCCCATCCATCCACCGCCCCCCACCCTTTGTCCTCTGCCTCCCAGCCATTTACCTCCTTGCAGCAATCAGAGAAAATGGGGAATGCGGAGGCAGCAATAACAGCTGGCGGCTGCTGAAATTAAAAGTGAAACTTGCTGTTTGCTGCAAGGGTCAAATTGCTGAGAGGCAGAGGCAGATTTTTTTTTTCTTCTAATCAGGCTAAACTGAAATAATGTATACTTCCAGAAAGCCACGTCAGTTTTAACAGCAAGCATAGTTCTGAAATGTAACACCATAAACTGTGTATATCTTCCGTACTGTTTGGTGCAAGGAGGCAAATTGCTGAGAGGCAGATTCTCCCCCCCCCCCTTCTTTTGCTCCCTAAAAGTTAGGTGCGTCTTATACTTCGGAGCGTCATACAGCAAATATGACTAAAAAGAATTCTACATGGTTTTAAGGTTGTATACATGCTCTGGAGCTGAGAAGCTCCCACTTCCCTCATATGGCTCCCAGGAAATCAAAAGCATTCCCTTTCATAGTTTATCATGATGGATAAACGGCGGTTGCATAGCCAGTTTCTTTTTTTTTAATATATTTTTTTATTTTTGAATAAACACAAACAGACAAAACACAACAAACGCCACAAAAATATCTTCCATTACAAATTGTAAAGAGTGTGTCAATTGGTTACAAAGAGCTTTTGTGCATCCCTTCCACAGTCATCACCTACAATTCATATCAAGTTATATATTTTAAATCAAATATATTTTTATATATTACTATCATCATAC